TGGTGGCAAAAATAAAGACTTTCAAGAGTAACATGTATAAGAGGGAATACACTCTAACCTTAATTCTTGACATTATGAAAACAAAACTAAATATCACATTAAGGGAATAATTAAGTATAAATATTACAGTTCTGAATGACCACATCCTGCTGAGTTAAATAACAGATTATTCTAAGTCTTGGTGTCCGTATCAGTAATAAGGGGAAAGAAAATGAACTACACTAAAAGGTCATTGTGCTTAGTGCTAGAATGGCTGACACTCCCCCTTGGATTTTATGTTCTTTTTTTCAGCTTGATTGTGAGGTTTACTAGAATGCAGTCATAGTTCTGACATCCAGAGATGAAGGTGCACATGGTCTGCACTCTTGGGATTTCTTGACTTCTAGGTTAGGTTCAGACACCTGGTGGCACATTGGTTAAGAGCTCAGGATGCTAATCAAAAGGACGGCAATTCAAATCCACAAGTGGCTCGCTGGAAAACCTATGGGGCAATTCTACTCTGTCCTATAAGGTCTCTATGAGTCAGAATCAACTAGACAGCAACAGTTTTTTGGGAAAAGGAGAGACATAGACACTACTGTCCCTGGCAGATTATGAACCTCAGGACACCTTATAAAAAGTCATTGTCTTAGGCTGGGTTCTCTAGAGAAACAAAATCAGTAAAGCATATAAATATTTATAGAGAGAGATTTATATCAAGGAAACGGCTCACACGATTGTAGAGGCTGGAACGTCCCAAGTCCGTGGATCAGAATAGAGGTTTCTTCCGATTCTTGTACCCACAGGGGCTGGCAAACCCAAGATCAGCAGGTCAGAGAGCAAGGCTCTTGCTCACAGGTTGTGAAGATCCACGAATCCCAGTTGACAAGCAAGACCACAAGGCTTCTCCTGATTCATGTAGCTGCAGGGGCTGGTAAATCCAAGATCTGCAGATCGGAGAGCAGTGCTCCCATTCACAGGCTGTGAAGATCAACGAATCCCAAGATTGGCAGATAGGCTGATAGCTCAAGTCCCAGGAACCGGAGGTGGTATGAACAGGAGGCAGTCGCAGGATCCAGTGAGAGCAAAAAGCCAGAACGTCTGCTTGTATTCAGACGCAGGCCACACGCCCAAGGAAACTCCCTTTCAACTGATGGGCTACTCACAGCAGATCCCATTATGGGAGTGATCACATATGAACACTGAGAATTATGGCCCAGCCAAGTTGACATACAATCTTAACCATCACCATCATTCTCAGACACAAAAATTTAAATCACCCAGCACTCTTTGACAGTCTAAAATTCCTCCCAATCGGATTATGCCTTAAAAATAATTAATTCTTAAAACAAGTAGAAAAGAAAAATTACACTTTTTTTCTAAGAAAATTATTATTACATTGAAAGATTTTTTTGTGGTGGAATCATACCTAGATGTCATTGCAATCACTATAGGAAATTTTTTTTTTTAATGCAATACCTAGATAGAAACCAGATAGATTGAGATAACACACATGCTATGTCAGAGGTGGGCAGAACCTACTTCCCACTTGGTTTAATTGCCTTCAGGTGAGAGACACTCTTCATTGCACCTGTAAACACAATGACTGACTTGATTTAGTCCATTTGTTTTATTATTACTGCATTCTTTTTTCATTTAAACTTATATAATGGTGAGTTCTGTTAGTTCTTACAACATAAAATGTCAACCAGAATTTAGCCTAACCTGGAAGACACTGGCATCAAATTCACATTTGGAGGGAATGTCTCTTACAAAGGATGAGAAAATTCGATATTGGGACCACCTACCTTGCAGCAACCTATTGGGTCAAGGGTTTGGCAACATCAATTTCAGGGGGAAGAAAGACACAGATTAAAAAGCTTTTCATTCTCAAAGACCTAAATATAAAATCAAAAACGATAAAGATCATGGAGGAAAAAATAGGGACAATGCTAGGAGCCCTAATACATGGCATAAAGAGAATACAAACCGTAAGTAACAATGCACAAACACCAGAAGAGAAACTAGATAACTGGGAACTCCTAAAAATCAAACACTGGTGCTCATTTAAAGAGTTCACCAAAAGAGTAAAAAGACAACCTACAGACTGGGAAAAAATTTTTGGCTATGACAAATCCGATCAGCATCTAATCTCTAAAATCTACAAAATATTGCAAAACCTCAACAACAAAAAGACAAATAACCCAATGTAAAAAATGGGCAAAGGATAAGAACAGGAACTTTACCAAAGAAGACATTTAGGCGGCTAACAGACACATGAAGAAATGCTCACGATCATCAGCTATTAGAGAAATGCAAATCAAAACTACAATGAGATATCATCTCACCCCAACAAGGCCAGCATTCATCCAAAAAACACAAAATAAAAAATGTTGGAGAGGTTGTGGAGAGACTGGAACTCTTATACATTGTTGGTGGGAATGTAAAATGGTACAACCACTTTGGAAATCGATTTGGCACTTCCTTAAAAAGCTAGAAATAGAAGTACCATACGATCCAGCAATCCCACTCCTTGGAAAATA